TTTTTTGAGACAGGGTTTCTCCGTAGCTTTTGATTCCTGTCCTGGAACTAGCTCTTGTAGACCAGGCTGGCCTCAAACTCACAGAGATCCGCCTGCCTCTGCCTCCCAAGTGCTGGGATTAAAGGCCTGCGCCACCACCGCCCAGCCTACAGCTATATCTTATCCTTGTTTGCTTCTTTGGGTTTGAGCTGTTTAAACTCCACAGATGTTATTTTTTGGTCCCGAGGACGTCATGCATACTAGGCTTGTGTGCTACCACTGACCTGGTATCTGCAGGCCTCCATAAATATCTTAGAAGCAGTTGTCTCAGGTACGTACTGTGTTTGCATCCTCATGGCTTCTCCATACTGTCTCTCCACTCTCACTCCTACAGAAAATTATTCAAAGTTCATAAAGACAAAAATGAAGTTCAATCTATTCAAAAGGTCAAAAAAACATAATATTGTAATACTGCATAAAAATTTCCACATATCTTTCCTTAAGTTTCTAAATAGTTTTAGACGAAGATATTTCAAAATGATTGAGGAGAAAACTTTGAAAAAACGAAGGCTGATGATTCAGAGAAAACAGGGTTGTATGACAGGTTATGTGGGGAAATGCAGCGCGTTCTACACACCCCAGAAAGGGAACCCAGACCAATCCATACAATTTCCCCAATGTCCATCTTAGTCAATCAGTGAGTTCTTATTGGGGCTCCTAACAGGAGTATGGGTGAAGGGTTACTTATAAGGAGCAGGAATGAGCAACTGCATCACTGAAAAGGCCACATAACAGGGGGCGTGGTGTAGGGACAGAATGAGGTGGGGGCTGGAGACAGGGCAGAGGAGCAATTAAAACTGCTACACTGTCGCCCTAGGCATAGCTGCATGCATCTCCGTCAATCAAATCTCTCTTTTCTACTCTTCTGTGGTTAAAAGTCTCCAACTGCCACCTACCCCCAATGCCATTGTTTGCTGCCCTTTTTTTTTTTTTTTTTTTGGTTAAAAGTCTCCAACTGCCACCTACCCCCAATGCCATTGTTTGCTGCCCTTTTTTTTTTTTTTTTTCTCATATTGCTGTGGAGGGGCCCTCAAGAATCTTCCAAGTTTGTGTTCCTCTAGACGTGAGACTTTTGTTTACCTCCTGAGGCTCCGGAGCGCCCCACCCCCACCCCCAAACTTACCTGCGGCCTCTCTCACTGAGGGAATGTTTCTATTTGGAGGGAAACGCCTTTACCATAAGCGCTAATGACTGAGTTAGACTGAACTATGAGATAGAAACTTAAATACGATGTCCTTCAATATCAGCAAAGCAAGGAGGTTACTCAGCGGCAGGCCTTCCCGTTTGGAACAGAGTCTGCAAATTAGTGAATCGGGGTTCCGGGTACAAAGTATCGAAATGCGGACTGTGCAGAACATTTCAGATTCTAAACTGGAGTTTAGCCATTCCCGTGTTCTTTGTGGATTTGGAGAACAGGATGAAACTAACAAAATACGCTTGGGGGTGGCACACAGCTCATCGCGTAACAGACCTGGCGAAACTGGGGTGTCTAACCTAGGAGCCCAACACAGCTTCAGGCAGGTAGGATCCACGCGTGGGCTCTTAGAGGCCCGCCCTGGGGCGAGCACTGTGAGAGCCACAGCCGCAGCAGCTCAGAACTGGCGGGAGGCCAGGCCAAACGCTCCTCCCCTGTCCCTCCTCCACAACAACCCCAGGAGGGGAGGGTCGAGCCTAAGGGTAGATCTTCAGCGGCCGCCTGCTTAGCCCACCTCAGAGATATCCCATCCCCCTTGACTGAGAACGACTGTCCGGAAGCCTGCTCTGTTGGCTGCGAGAGGCACTTGGATCGGACTCGCGCTGGTGGCATCGGTGAGCCCAGGGAGGGCCCCGGGTACCCCGGAATAACTCAGCTCAGTGCCTAGATAAGGAGCCCCGGGACAGAGAGGGTTTTGAGTCATGGGCTTGTGGCGCTGTCACCAGGTTGTGGCGGGGATACAGGAGCGCCCACTGGGGAGGATGGGCAAGGGAGGGCGTCCAGGGAGGGCGGGCTGGAACCGCAGTGCCCTCCTGTTTGATGCTGGACTGACCTCGGAGGCTCACAGAAACAGGGCTCCAGAATTAATAAGATAAGACTGATTGCTTCCCAGAAAGCCACCCTAAGAATTCAGTGCCAGCTGGGCAGCAGGTGAACCCGGAGCTGCAGGGAAATGTTTTGTCTGTAGATCTCATTGTGGAACGCTCACGCACACTTTGTGAGGAATAGCCGAGATTTAAGAAGTCTGCGAATAGAATAATAAAAATAAAGTAATGTCACCCCTGCTTGGAGCATCCTGCTGCTGGCCAGAAAAAAATGCTGGTTATTCCACCCTTAAGGCTGGATTTTTGCAAAGCCAAGCAAAACCACAAAACAGAGAACATGGTCTCCTTGAGGCTTTGATTGGGACCATGGAAATCCCTGCCAGGTCCGGGTCAGGAAGGAGTGGCGAGTCAGGTTCTTACACACACACACACACACACACACACACACACACACACACGGGAGCTGTCACCTTGAAAGGGCACACCGATTCTGGTTTGGGCGGCACGTGTTACCACATCAGACTTGCTCAAATTATCTTTGACCCAAATGAGAACGCAGAGCTAGGAGACAGGTGGTGGATGAGCAGGGGTAGGAAAATGTGCTCCCTGAAGCAAGGACAATGCCAGAGGCTGGCAAGCAAATCTTGGAGTAAAACTGAGCTGCTGGGTCAGGGCACCAGAATCAAAATAAAGAGAAGACCTTCTGGCGACAGAGCACGGGAGAGCTGTCAGCACTGGGGCGGGTTTTCTCACCCAGGGACTCTGGGAGCCTTATGAAGGAGACCGCTTGTTGACATCCTTGGCGTGCCAGCTTCAGCTTGCTGTCGTCAGGACTGAGAGTGTTTTTCCTTCCGTGGACTGTTGTTCACAGGTCCTTCCCTCACCGTGTGCTGATGCCACCCTTGAACCGCTACCGTGGTCTGACTGTCGCTGGTCTCAGTGACACTGAGGCAGAAGGCTCTACACGCTGAGCTGTGGAGTGTGAGGAGGGATGTTAATGAGTCCCAGTCTCTCTTTTAAGCTATTCAGAAATCAATCCCCTGTGAGGTGTGAAGGTCCAGGTTTTGAACTCTTCTCTGTGGTGCTCTATCTGCTCACTAGTCATAAGGAACTCCTAGGGACCCTGACTAAATCCCCCCCCCAACTAGTTTTGTTTGTAAACAAATACAGTTTAACATCTACTTTGAGACTACTTCAGCATAGAGCATTAAGAGACGAGACAATGAGGTACTTGGAATGGGGGTCCCTAGGAAGGACTTCTTCAAAGGGGGGGGTGTCCCTCTTGTTCTTATCTTTTCATTCTAATGTGGAAAGTCACATGTGGCCCAGGCTGGCTTCCCACTGGCTAGCTATATAGCTAAGAGCCTTGACCTTTGACCTTTGGTGTCTCAGTCCCTGAATTGTGAGATCACTGACCTGAAGCAACCAACCTGTTCTTTGAGGCACTGGGGATCAGGCCCAGGTCATGCTGGGCAAACACTCTACCAACTAAGCGGCACCCCGGCCATGTATTTTTGAAATATTTTATTTTATGTATATTGGAGGCTGCCTGTAAGTCTGTGTACCATATGTGTGCCTGGCGCCTAAGAGGGGCAGAAGAGGACACCAGATTCCCCTGAACTGAAGTCTCAGATGATTGTGAGCCCCCCACCCTCGCCCCGTGTGCTCTGTGTCTTAAACCTGCTTTTTTTCCATGACTCATGATTCACGATTAGAAGCCTGACTGACCCTAAGAAACTCAGAGGCATTTCCATTAAGTAAAGCCTAAAGGAGAAAGTGTTAAATAGAGAGAAACCGAATGAGGGAGTGTTTCATTCTACATCACATAGTTCCAGGATTCCAAGGAAGCTTTGCGGTCTGCTGGCATGACAGAAGGCTCCTATTGCCTTTCTCTGTGAAGTGTGAGCCGCCTGTGGCCGCCATCACTGCTGCTGTGAAAGATTTTCTGAAAGCGACATAAAACACAGTGGCACTACAGACTCGCACAGACTTGTTCAGCTTTTGTTGTAGGTGAACTCAGCAGCTGAGCAGGGCCATTGCTATGAGAACGCTCACTGAATTGCTAGTTTCTTCCTAGCGAAAGCTGTGTTCCTTCATTCTTTCATTCATCCATGTCAAAATATCCATGGCTGGGTGCTGAAGTGCTCGGGAAGCTGAAACAGGGCAGCCTCATGCATTCAAGGCCAGCTTGGGCTGTGTTGTAGGTTTAAGACCAGCTGGCGTTAGACAGAAATATCTCGTCTCAATAAAAACAACCACAGGCGGGCGTATAACTTAGTGGGAGAGAACTTGCCTAGAATGTGCAAAAGCCTGGTTCAGTTCTAAACTCTGGAACAGACAACAAGTAGGTAGTACAGGCAGACAAACAGAGAGATAGATGATAGATAGATAGATGATTGATAGATAGATAGAGATAGATAGATGATAGATAGATAGTAGGTAGATAGATGATAGATAGATAGATAGATAGATAGATGACAGAAGATAGATAGATAGATAGAGATAGATAGATGATAGATGATAGATAGATAGTAGGTTGATAGATAGATGATAGATAGATGATAGATAGATAGATGACAGATAGAAGATAGATAGATAGAAGGTAGATAGATAGATAGATGACAGATAGAAGATAGATAGATAGATGATAGATGATAGATAGATAGATAGATAGATAGATAGATAGATAGATAGATGCTACTGTGTACTGGGTGCGAGTTAGAAATACTTTCTAGTGTCAAAGAATTCGGAAGTCAAGAGATGAGCAAGAATCAAGGAATGATCAGAGTGAGTTTAGACAGTACTAAAAGTTTGGATGAAAAGCCAAGAGCTGTTGCACAGTGCTTTCGGTATAGGTTTGAATGTGTAGACATGTGTCGGGCAAATAGCAGGGGCCTTCTTGGATTCATCCACTTCTTTTTAGATTTATTTTTATTTTTTATTTATTAATATTTGCCTGCATGCATGTATGAGCATCATGGATGTGCCTGGTACTCTTGGAGGCCAGAGGACGGCATCAAATTCCCTGGAACCAGGTTTAGTGACTGACAGTTGTGAGCTACTGTGTGGGTTTGGGAACCGAACCATGGTCCTCTCCATGAAAAGTGAGGACTCTTGACCACCGAGCCATCCCTTCAGCCCTGGGACCCCTGAAACGGAAGAACTTTTGGCAGAGGGACCTAGTGTGCGGTTGTGTAGGGAATCAAGGACAGTGTATAAAAGGCACAGTTGGAAGGCCAGCGTGGCTGAAGTAGGCAGGGGAGAGGAGCGCTGGATGCAAGGAGGAAGGAGAAAGGGGGGCAGGGTGCCAGGTCACCTGGAGTCTCATAGATCAAATCCAGAAACTTACATCTCTCTCCAAGTAGGACAGCAGGAAGCTGGATGTATTCTAAGCAGAGGTGTGAATTCAGAGCCTTCCATATTGGGAGACTGGTCCAGCTGCTGTTGTGGAGGATGGTTTATTTGGAAAAAGCAGGAGAGGATGCTGCTTTAGATTTGCTGCTGGGAATCTAGTCAAGGGTGTATGTGACAGGTAGGCACGGGGTAGTTTTTGAAGGTACAGTGAAAAATTAGGTAACATTTGTGATTCGAACTTTCCACCTACAAAAGGGATCTGTCATTGCTACCCCTGGGCCTCTTAAAGAACAAGCTAATAAGTGTGCTTTTAAAAAAATATTATGAATGTGCTCCTAAGAGGATGTAAGATCTTACTACTAATACTATCTACTAATAATGTGCAATTTTAATTCACACACACACTGCAACACAGCATAATACAATAATACAACGTTTGCTCTCTCTGGAACATCAGAAACCATCAGATGAACCACGGTAGAGTATAATAACGCGAAGGCTAAAATAACAGCTAATTTAATCTTAAAAGCTGGGCATGCGCAAGTAAAATACAGAGATGTAACATTTGAAACGGGGAATTGAGGGGGAAAAAAGTCGAAAACCTTTTCACAGAACAAAGGGGTCTTTGTCCTGGCTAGGACCATGCCAGTGTCCAAGGGCGCCCAATCTGCTGAATGGAAATTCGAATGGGGCAGCAGAATTCACCAGGGGGCCTTGCCGAGCCCTGAATGGCTTTCCCTTAGTGAAGCATTCTCTCTCAGAGGAGGCTCTGCAGCTTCCCTGGCTGTTTGCTGACTAAGGTAGAGATGAGGGTTTTGAAGCTGTTTACCATCTAGAGAAGGGATGACCCTCCCGTGACAGAACAGCGCACTGCGCGAGGCAGCCCCACTTCTGCTTCCTCGCTTACTCTGAGGTTCATCTTACAAGAATGAAATGCCCTAATTTAGAAGAAGAGGGGCCCCTTCCTTATTTTCATTGTGTGCTGTGGAAATTTTGGCTCATGATAGCCTGTGGGCGACATTCTCTCGCCAGATGCTGTTATTAATTAGTCAATGAATTGATGTCTGCATCTGATTCTGAAGCAGTCTTCTGATTTAAATTGATGGCACATTGTGACGATGATTCCGAGACATATCCACGGTATTTCTAGACGATCAATTGAGACTTCGTGGAGCATCTTTAAGGGAGAGGTTACATATCGTCTCTTCTTTGGTCATACATCTTCTGCTGATTATCTCTCTCTCTTTTATTTGTGTGTGGCGTTTGTGTGTATGGGCACGTGTGCTCACCTGTGCACACACATGTAGAAGCCAGAAGCAGTGTTGCATGTCTTTCAATGTTATACCACACTTTTTTTTTTTGAGTCTATCTCTTGCTGAATCCACAATGCCCTTGTTTAGCTAGACTGACTGACCAGGCAGTCTCCCAAGCCCTCC